TTTCCCTAGGTTCTTGGGGGAAGCCTGGTCCTTTTGCTGTCAACCAGTCCCTGGATGTTTTTTCTTCTTCCTGATTGTGTTTGTACCTGGCAGGCTGTAAGGGGGGTGGATTGCTGCTCCAGTTTGGGGCGAGCTTTCTTCCACGGGGTGGCTGCGGCATCCTTGTTCCTTTGGGTCTCCTCTCCTGCAAGCTCTTGTTCAGTGGCCTGTGGAGTTAGCTGGTGCAAGCCTGTGTCCTCCCCTCCCAGCACAGCTGTTCACCCCCGTTTGTTAACACACTATTGCCTTTGCAGGGGGTGAGAGGACTGGAGGGCACAGCCGGGCCTCCGGGACCACCCGGACCAAGGGTAAGAGCACACGTTGAGTCCCATACACAGAAGGGAAGCTTGTCCACACAACAGGAGCTTTCAGCTTCTGCTGCTTCCTTCTGACCTGGGTCCTCATGGGGTTGGAGCCTGGGACTCTGCACAGATCCCTTCCACTTCACAACCCCCTGGGAGTAAGGACTTGCATCCTGAAGGCACATGTAGGAAGCAGAGGAAGTGTTGGTCTACACCATCTCCAAACTGTGCCAGGGAGCCCTGCAGGAAACCACAGCACATTAATTGCCCTTGACGTGGCATTGGGTCCATGCCAGCCAGCCCAAGACGGATGCCTTGTTGGTTCCCATCCAGCAGAGCGACATTGCTTCCGCTTCACCTTCACTGCCACGCTCGCTCACGCGGTCCCACGACATGCCTTGTCTATTGTTGGGAGCAGGTGGCAAAAATGGTTTCCCAAGGCTTGCTGAAGTGCTTCACACAGAGAACATCCTTTTTGCCAACATGAGAGCAGAGCTAAGAATTAGCCAAGGTCAAATGGACCTGGACACGTGCAATCAGGATCTGTGCACCCAAAGGTATCAAGCATGATAGGAAGACAGCTTTCAGATTAGGGCTCCCTGGGCCTCTGGATACTGAAAGCTGGAATAGAAGAGGAGCAAGGGATGGATCAGTCTGGATAGGCCCTGTGTAAACACTCCTTTCCTTTATCATCCCCTTTCTGCCACTGCGAGAGGCTTGGGCAGGGCTGGGTGGACCTGTGGGCTGACCTAGTCTGGCATCTCTTATGTAATTGCATTGAAAACTCTTATTTCTCAGAGGCCTCATAGTTGTTCGGCACCAGCCATTGGAATCCAACCAAAATTACAAAAAGGAATAGCAAATTCCTGGTGGCTGTTTTAGTATATCATCCTATCCATTGCAGAGAGACACATGGGGAGACACGTTGTGTAAGGCAGGCAGGCTTTTTTCCTGTTAAAAAAATCATCACTACTAATGACGTTGCTCTGAAGAGGGAAGTGCAATAGTTATAAGAGAGAAAGAGGAAGCATGAGCAGTCCAAAAAATTATAATAATAAAAAAAAATATAATAATAAAGGATGTGCTGTGGGCTAAGACTAAAATAATCTGAATATGTAATGAAATGCCTAAACCTGAAGGGTAAAAAAAAAAAAAAAAATCCAACCCACACTGCAGTTGGGCACAACTCAGCTCTGTTTGCTTGACCATAATTGAGACGGTAATAGGAAATGATGTGAACATGACTCACACATGATATACTCTTAACATGGCACTCGTGGCTGGATGCTGCACTGACATGAACCCTAAGGGTGCAGTGCCCTTGCCCGAGTCCTCAAAACTAAATGTACTGGTGTCCTCAGAGTCCCGGTGGGGAGGAGGTGGAGTGGGCGGAGGCACAAACAGCAGAGGAAGAAAGTTTGGAAGGAACTGGCTGTTTCTGTAGCTGCATCTCATAACGAATGTCTGCAGGGTTTCCAAGGGATGGCAGGCTCTCGTGGCGGCGGTGGAGAGAAAGGACCTCCAGGGGACGTTGGACCAACTGTAAGTTTCTTCCATGTTTGGAGCCCTCTCAAGTGCTGAATGAGACTTGTATCATAAGCAGAAATGAATGGTAGCAAAGTGCATTGCCATAGCTGATCATCTTTGGAGTTTGAAAGTGTTCAGAAAAAAATCAGACCCAGTAAAAAATAAATAAATAAATAGAACAGGCTCTCACCTGGGAGTCGGCTTGTAAAAACCTGCGTGCAAAATGTTCTGTAGCTGTTCTCTGGAGAAGGACAAAGCAAAGTACTAAATAGACTTTCTATCATTCAATTGACTTTATATTTTTATTTTTCACCATCTCCCACCTTCTCTTAAGAAGTGTTGATTTTCTCTTCCTGTTCTCTGCAGGGGCTGCCTGGTCCCAAAGGAGAAAGGGGTGAGAAGGTGAGTGCATCTTCTGGAGCTCTCTGCATCACACACTTCTGTTGCTGTGCGCAGTACTGGAGAGGACACCCGTGACACTTGTGGTTAAGCTGTTGTGAAGCTGAACCACCTCGTTTGCCTATGGCCCCTTGGCTTTCCATTCCCCCGAGACACTTGCTCTGGGCGAAACTGCTATAATTGTGCAACAGTTGGACAAGGGCTAGTCTCCATAGGAGTAAAATAAATTAAAAAAGAACAAAATCTTTTTTTACTGGGGAGTGGAGTTGATTATAATAATCAGCTAATTCATAACTCCACTTTGGGGACTGGATAGACATCTCCATTGAAATCAGTGGATTTCCATCAGTTGAGAAGCTGATCTTGTACATCAAGCGGAGACTTTTCCCTGGTGCCTTAGGGAGCTTTAGATGCCCAGTGGGCATCTCTACATGTGCACAGTTACTGCACAGTAACCAGAAGTAATTGTGCAGTGCAAGCACATGTCTACATGTGCACACCCCTACTGTGCAGTAACTATGGTGACTTATGCTGAGTTGGGTGTAAATTTGCTACCTGCATGATGCAGATAGCAAATTTATGCCCACTTAGTTACTGCGCAATAAGGCACATGTAGATGCCCTACTGTGCAGTAACACTGTGTGTGTGCTCTGACTTGGGAGTAACTTTACTCTGAAGTTGGAGCACGCACAGTGTTACCGCACAGTAATGCCTACACATGTAGACACCGGTCTAAAAACTGCAGTAAGTTACTGCGCAGTAAATGCACGTGTAGACATGCCTAGAGTGATTTGAATCTAGTCCCAGATTCATGATCGACTGAAGCGATCTGGAAACCTGTATCTCCGTGAAAGGTAAGGGGGCTTCATCTTCTAAGTCACTTAGCTGCTTTTGAAACATTTACCCTTTGCTGCTTGACCTGGGTGCTTCCAGGTTGTACAGGGCACCAGTGTATCCACGTACGTCTTGCCCGGGCTCATAAATAGTCAGTTGATGAAACACGTATAAAAACCAGCAAAATGCAAATCATGTCTGTAACGGAGGTAAATGCAGAGCTTGGCATGGACATGTCTCCTCATTCAGGATGTGACCAAGAGTCCACTGAGGTCAAAACACTGTGATTTAGGCTCTTAGAAACCTCCTCAGTACTCTTCCCCCTTTGAAGATGTCTGTTAGACCTGGGGTAGAGCTTTTGTCTCAGGTTGGTACCTGATCAGGTGTGGGGCGTGCGGGGAGGAGATGGGGTGGGGTAGCCTCCTCTTACAGCTTTTTCCTTTTAAGAACTTTTTTTTTTTGGATGCGTTTGCTCTTTTTCCCACCCCCGGGCACCATGCCCAGGTTTGTTTAATTTTGTGTAGGACTGCACATTGATCCAGCCAGAGATGGATGTTTTATAAATGGGGTTGGAAGGATTCAATTTTGATTTAGTTATGAATTTTTATGGACAGTGCCAGTGTTTATTTCCAAGTTTTCTTCCTTTTTTTTTTTAAAAGGACTTTTGCTCCTGCTCTGCAGAAACTTAAAAAAAAAAAAAAAGTAAACTCTGATATCAGTTGCTTATTCTGAATGTAATAACAGTAAGAGTCAATATTCATTCATTAAAGATTCAGACGGAAAGCCATAAAACTGTAATATGTGAGCATATTAGTTTTCTTAAAGTATTGCAGAATATTGAGTTATGGGCTAGATGCTCTTCTCCCAGACTGCAAGCTATATAAAAATTTACTAAGAAGAGGGAATAAATTTTGTGTATCATCTCATGTATTAACAATGGAAATTTATTTATTCAATGTTTCAGTGCCAGGAAAAACAATTGCCAGTGTTACAATTTTACTGCTTCGGAGATTATTGATAAATAAGTAAGGAGACCTCTGCAGATGTTTAATAATCTCAGTCGCTCCGGTTGGTGGTAAGAGCCTGTCCCTGAGGCCTTGCCCTGTGCTCTCAGGGAACTTGCATTATTGCAGCCACCTGATTTCGAAAGCAATTGTTTTTCATTTTTCCCTTTAGGGTGAACCGCAGTCTCTGGCCACAATTTACCAGCTAGTTAGCCAGGCTTGTGAGCGGATGATTCAGAGTAAGTACACCCTGATGCGGCTCCGGGGGTAGTCAGTGCTGTCCTGTACCTGCTGCTTTGCTACTGAATTACGAATCTAATCCACGATCCATTGACTTCAATAGGCTTTGGACGAGACCCAGAGATCTTGATCCTGTGAAATGATGAGCATTATGTCAGGCAGGAAGCTCACATAAGAGTCTCAAAGCAATGCAGTTTTTTTACTAGCTTGCATTAGTAGAAAAGCTTATGAAATATTGTTTGGCATCGATGTTTCCAGCCTTGTACAGCATTTTTCTTTCCCATAGAAGATGGCTTAGATTTAAAGAATCAAGTTTCAAAGAAAATTGCAGCGATTTCTCTTAATCCATCACACAGCAGAGGAGAAACGTAATAGGGGACTAGTTTTTTTTTTTCCTTTGGGGGGATTTATCTAACCTGGACAGCTCAATTCAGATGATGCAGTTAGGATAAAGTGAACTCATCTTTGAATGTAAAAGGAAATATGAGTTTTTTCTGGAGATTTTCAGTGAGAGCCTGATGCACAGAGAGATCAAGTATTTTTTCTCAAAGTCAGATAGCAAGGCCATTCCTCCGCAGAGTCTTCCCCTTCAATTCATGATCATTATAGTTTGGACCAACAATTTAGTAGTACCCTATATGATTTGTATTTAAAGTTTTTTTTAAGATAACTTGTTCCCACATTGCTTTCCATCCGAATGCCCCAAATTTTGCTGGGTTGGTTTGAACCTTTTCTGAATCCGTTGAAAGAATTTGGTCAAATGCTCTTGTCTTATCCAAAGAGGTTTAAAGTGTCACTGTGCAAAGCTCGATCCTTAACTGCTGTGGATCAGCTGTAGCTCTGTCAACATTATTGAAGCTACTCCAATTTATACACGTGAGAATCTAGCCCACCGTCTCTTGCTGTGCCACGAAGTCTTTGGTCGGCTGAGCCTCTCCTCTGATGCTTCATGCTGTGACTTGCTTTCCTAGCTCACGTGTTGAAGTTTGACTCATTCATCCATGAACATACCAGGAAGCCAGTCCCCATGTGGGATGAGAAGTTGATGCCAGGAGAGCCGGGACTGCCGGGTCTTGCAGGTCCCCCTGGAAGCAGAGGAGAAAGAGGAGAAGATGGCTTCCTGGGACTGCCAGGCAAAGACGGGTATCCAGGAGAAAGAGGTATGGAGAGAGGTTTTCTTTAACCAGTGCTTGTGCTTTTGGAAACACCGACTAATGAAGGGCAGAACATGGTTGTCCTTTGCACAACCACGAACCTTCATCCCACTTAGGTATCAGGCAGCTCTACTGGGAAATAACTTACCCATGTAATGGATGAGCACAGGCCATCAATACTAAAACAGGTTATGAAAATAGGTTTGCAGAACATTATTACAGCAGCTCCGACAGCAAAAGATGTTCAGGCGAACAACAAAATGAAGTGATAGAAACTCAAGAGCCTTCAAGTAAGCAAAGATTAATGATTAAAACCTGTTAAAAAAATCAATTAAAAAGGAAAATAGAGTTGCAATATTTTTGCGTTACACAAGATGGTTTCTACCCAGAGAGAAGAGCATTAATTAGGCCCTCCAAAACAGAAATCTCTTGTAGGCTGGGAGCCAATTAACAGTCCATTGCTCCAAGCTAGATTTCGAACTTGATAAATGAAAGTGGCAGGTATCAAATGTTCAATGCTAGCTGACAACGGCAACTGCCTGCAAACTCTGACGGTATTTCCAAGCATGACACCTGTTTAGTAATGAGGAATTTCAATGCCAGCGTTGTGGATGACAGCAGTGGAACAGAAGAAACAAGGGATGGGGGGAGTCGTAATGGGGAACGACTACTACAACCTGGCCTGGCATCAGGACTTCTCGTTGGTAAAACACTATTCACACACAAGAAGTATTAATTGTTCACAAAAAGATGTCCCATAAACTAACCTGAATTTCTCCAGAGACAGGCCCTGAGGCATTAGATTGCTTTCTGGTATGTAGATGGTCACTTTAGATCAACTCTTCAGGATGTCAGAGCAAACAAAAGAGCCAGCCTCAAAACTGGCCACAAACTGTGTGTGGCAGGACTGAAGATTAAATTTAAAGAAAAGCAAAACCCCTGAAGACCAAGAAAATTGGCAGCTAAAGGCTAATGGGCAAGACATTACCGCAGTGCTCTAGCTCTGGATTTTGCTGAGAACGTAGCCCAAAGTAACATGCAGCCGACTACGCAGCACAGCAGAGAGGCACAGTTAATAATTAGTTATGAGGGAACAAATCTAATGAGAATCCAAGCAGCTCCCAATTCATCTATTAGGAAAGAGGAAAGCAAATAAAAAGTGAGTCTAGCGTGTGAACTGATTTCAACACGTAAGCTAGTGGGGGATGTTCAGAAGCTAGTGGGGCTTGTTCATGAGGTTGTGAACTGGCAAGATGGCAACTGCATTTTATCACTTTGAATGAGATTTGTTCATCAGCACTTTTACACATGCACGCACTACAAGCTCCTTCTTTTAAACACACTCTTCCATCTTCAGAAAAAGGCTGAAAGCTGGAAATCCAAAAAGCATGGCTAGAGGTCTGAATTACAAGGAGTAATTTTTAATACATGCAGAGAGTTAGCAGCAGGTTCAACAACTCCTTATCCACCTTTAAAACAACCCCCCTCTCCAAAACTCCTTGCCTCAAAATTAGCCGGGCCTCACGTTAAGACTGGAGGCAGCGTGTCTGCCGTGGCATGCCTTTGGACGGGATTATTTCCATCAGTCCCATTTGTCACATTGGACTTCCAAAAGGAAGACGCAGGCCTTGATGACATGGTAATAAATAACTAGGATGGATGTGGATAGTGGAGCCTCATCTGTGGCCCAAGCAATATTTGATGGTGTAGGATAGACTCAGAGATCTGATTATGTGCGCCTTTTCCTTTCATCTATTGCTTTATCACCTGTCTTAGCTGCTGACTCCTTGGGGATATCCGATTATGCCTTTTCCTCCCATCCATTGCTTTCACACTTGTCTTAGTTGCCAACTCTTTGAGGTAGGACTGTATCTGTGTGTGTGTCAGTAGTGTGCCCAGCCCAATTGAGCTGCTGTCCTGACTGAGGCATCTGGGCACTAACAAATATTGAGCAAAACCAAATGGACCCTCTCTGTCCCTTCAAAAGTACTCTCCGTCCAAGGCGGGCTCTTGTTCTACTTCCGTGTGGCACAGGACCCCATGAAAAGCCTTCTCAAACCAGCTCAGACAAGCGGACAGGGACAAATCCCGAAATCCTTTCCAACACAAGACTCATTGAAATCCATGTAAGGACTAAGCAAAGATGTCAGCATTTGGCCAGGGCATTTTCAAGCAAAGGATTGAGAACAAAAGGCAAATCTTCTTATCGCAGTGCTCAGCAGGCAAAGCACTTGCTGGCTGCCTTCGAAGAAGCGCTTGCTTCAGAGAGGCCATGCTCTCATCTTTGCCCTCATTGCCCCCCAAAGCAAGAGCTGCTGCATTTGCAAGGAAGCGGCATAAGAACATTTATTTTATTCTAGGACACATCACAACCACAGAGCCACCCTAGCAACCACCACTGCACAATGGCCACAATAAGGAGGCGCTGTTAGAAAACCCCTTCGGATTCAATTCCAAAGAGGCTACAAGCAGCCTTGTTAAAGGTGGAGGAGGAGGTGTGCATGCACAAAGACAGATTTTAAGTCTCCCCCTCCTTTCTGGCAATGCTTTATAATGTGGCATTTCCTTCCATTTATAGTCAGAAATCAAGGTTTCTGGTTTAATTGGCATGCTTCAGCCTGCGGATCACGCAGCAACCTGAATCTGTCAAGATATCTCGGGGAAGACACTGCGTCATTATGTCTGGCTCCCTATCATCCCCCCTACTTGGAGCACACACGTGAGCATCTCCTCCATAGATGTTTTGGGGGATAGCAAGGTTACTTCAGAAGCATCCTTTTCCCTCCACAGTTAAAACTCTGCATCTTCCCTTTCCTCTCACCCCCAGACTCATTATCGCAATAGCCGAGGATATAACTATCTGACAGGATAGAGGAAGGAGGAAATTTAGGTCATACAGCAGCACCCTTGGACTCGGTAGACTTAACTGGACTTTAAAATTTCTGTGGTTTAAGCTCTAAAATATTTGGATGATGCCTCTCACAAGCTCATGTTCCCATGAGAAGACCCAGACTCAAATATATGTCTCTTGTGCAAGTGTGTGATAATAATGCTAGTTCTTGATAGACTGGGCAATAGAAATGTTGCTTGGATGTTATGACAACAACCAATGTCTCTTGGGATCATCTCAACAAAATTAACCCAAACCCCATTGACCTTGGTGGCCTTTTAACCCCTTTGAAAAGTGCACTGCTTATTTAGGTCTCCAACCCCCTGGTCATTTGGTTTGGGCCTGGATATATATATAGATATAGCTTATCAAAATGACAGCTAAGAGGAACAGTGATGTAGCAGCCTGCAGATATTTCCAGCATGTCAAATGAGGACATGGGAGGCAATGCGTCCCAGGGAAAAACAGTCCAGACTATAGAGCAGGTCCAGAGAGTCTCATAAAAATGCCTCCATTAAAACTAAGCACTCACAGAAATATATTGCTTTGCATGACTGTTGCATTGGGAAGATCCAGGACTGACTCTTAAGCTGACGGCATTGGGAAACCCAAGTCCAAACCCACACTTTTTCTTTCCCGAGCTGGTCCAAGAGCTTGAACTGGGGCCACCTTCATTCCAGGCCGGTGTCCTAAGCTCCAGGCTAGTGAGACTTTGCAAAAAAATAGCTAAATATCTCACTTTTGCTCTTCCCCAGAAGGAGAACACATATTGAAATCTCCCAATGTTTTTCCAAGATGAAAAAATTCCTTTCCAGCCAGCCCTACCTGGAAGATTTGAGCCCAGTGCCTTGTAAATAATAGTGGGAAGTTATTCAGTTTTTTAATATAAAAGTATGACAAATAGCCATAAAATCTTAAGTTCACTGTGATCCTTTTTAAGAGATACAATGACAATGATACACTGACTGTGAGTAGTACTAATAGCTTGCAAGTCCCTTAATCATCAGGGAACATAAGGGCAGCCTGATGGAAAGGCTATAAGGGATAGCATTAATTCAGGGTAATATATGAAGCTCCTACTTCTTATCCTCAAACAGGAGGACCAGGACCAAGGGGTGCAAAGGGGATGCCTGGAGCAAATCGGGAAGGAGTCCAAGGACCCAGGGGACGAGCAGGTAAGGGAATTTAGTCCATTTACTTCAGGGGCAATTTAGGTTTTCATCCAGGGTGCAGAAGGGTGTTGAGCAAACAGCTCTTGTATTGCAACAACCACATGCCAGGTGCAAAGCAACCTTCAGCTCTGTAAGACTTCCAAGTGGGGCAGGTTAACTTGAATTTGTCTACTTTGAGGTTTGCTTCCTCTTCATGGGAAACATCTCACCACTGTCAGAGAGAGAATACTGCACTAGACCAGTCACAGGTCCTATCCAATTTTGCAGTCCCCCTCTTCCTGGGGACCCAGTGGGCAATGCTTTCCAAGGACCCCCCGCTTTCCTACACAGTTGTTGGATTGAAGGTACCAGTTCCCAGTGTCTGAAGGTACATATATTAGGTCATTGCATGTTAGCTGCACGGTCTGTGCAGAGAGTGATCATTTTGCCAATGTAGAGGCAGGTTTTGGGCACACAGACTCTGATGCTCAGATGATATAAAACGAGCTGAGGATGTGGCCCATGAAGTGGAAGGCTTTTTGACAATCTGGCTCTGTTCCCATCTGCTTTAGTTGTACGATTTGGGTAAATGCAGGGTCCAAGAAGAGAACCCAATAGAAAATACCATTGCAGCGGCTTTTCATGTCTGTGCTTGAGATGCAACAGCATAAAAAGCTGGACCAGCATCTCTTGATCAGCAGTTTTCAGTGAAACCTGGTTGGACTCCCACATCTTAATCTCCTGCTCAGCAGGTGCTGGAAGCTTTCTTAGGGGCAAGATGGGTACGTCCTTTCTAGGCTTCCCCACCCAGAATGATAGTGGCCACTTCATGCAGCTCTTTTGGTGCTGGCAAGGAGAAGCTGGGAAGTGAGGAAGTGGTCCCCATCACTTCATTAGTATGCAGAGATTTTTCAGCTTAATCCTTTCACAACAGGAAGGAAACATCTCACAGGTAATTAGCAATAGAGTCACAAGCTGACAGCAGAAAATAGGTATTGCCCAGCTACAGCCAAAGTTAGATCCTGAGCTGCTTATGTTTTAGGACCACCAGGAGAAGCCGTGGTAGGGAAACCAGGTCCGAACGGGGCCCCTGGAAGTGCTGGCCCACGGGGCTTTCCTGGTGACAGAGGCCAGCCAGGGGAGCCTGGCTATCCAGGGGGCTGCGATCTCTCTGGATGCTATGGGGCGAGTACCAGAGGTAAGTCCCAATTATTTTAAATATACAAGGTCATAATTTAGACTCTGCTCTATACAGGTGTCTTCAGCTTCCTGGCTCAGCAGTCTTTGACAGCTGTATCCCCTCTGGGCTCTTCTTCCAGGACAGTTAGTCCTGAAGAACATCCTTTTCCTAAGCCCTTAATATGCTTCATCAAGCCACGAAGATAAAAGGGGCTCCGACTGGATGCTGAATGTTCAACACTTGGTCATTTCATCGTGTCTGACTGCCTAGCTCTGCTCTTTACTTAAATAGCCTCATCTCATTCAAATATTTCCCCCCCCTTTTAACACAAGACATTATGCTGTAGACTAGAGGAACTCTCACAGGACTTGGATTGCATGAAAAGGAGAATTAGATCAGCTTTGATACGCTCCCTGTTTCATATCTCACGAAGGGCATGGGGGAATTCTTCCTGGGACCTGCCTGCACCTGGCTTCTGCAAGCATAAAAAGCTTGCAGAAGCCAGGTGCTTCTGTACTGTTTCTGTACAGAAGCCAGGTGCTGTTCTGTACTGTACTGTGCCTCTCTACTGTTTTCTTTTATAATGGCCTGCCAAGGGTGAAGAGCTCTCCTGCGGTATATGTGCATTCTGCAAAGCTATTATTTAATAAGGGGTGGCCAGTAGGCCTAGCAATAACTGCATTTCAAAAGAGCACTTGAAATGCTCCCTTTGGGCTGGACACGTTTTTCGTCAGCCTAGGTAGAGTGTTTAAATGAGCCAAGTTGCACGTGACCGACCACGGGGAGTCTCCAGGATGGTCTTGGTCTCATCCTCTTCTCCCAGCCCCTTCGTGTCTGTAAAGCAAAGGAAAGTGCTACAAGACTTCTGCTTCAGGATAGTATTTGCACCCAGCTTTTCAGCTGACCCAGGGCTTCTTTCCTTGGTTCTCCATCTATCCCAACCACTTTAAAAATCTAGTTTGCTACCTTAAAAAGATGCTTCTGCTTCATCATCATGATGGCTGTCTCTCAAGAAAGATTTTTTTCCTCCATACTTAGCCACCAAGCTCAGTCCTTCATCAAATTGGTGCATCTTATCCACTGAAAGCCTGGGCAGTTCAGTAACGGGGTTAGGAGGTGGTTGCCTGCTATAGCTGGGGACTGCACTTGATGACCCAGAATGCCCCTTTCCAGTCCATGTTCCTTGGGGTATTTTCATGGTACGTTGCACAGGACAGATGTCACAATTCCTAAATATACCTCTGTGAATCATACAGGAAGATTCAAGCACATTAAGAAACACAGAAAAGCTTTGGTGCATGACAGGAGAGTTGGAAGGAGGGAGGAGGGATATATTTTGAGTACTTTGCATTGATACTCCTGTCTTTGTCTCCAAACACAGATTTCATCCCATGACGGTTGGTTGATGGGCTGCTTGCACAGTACTTTCCTTCGGAGACCTCGGCCTGAATCTTCTACATATGAACTGCAATTTGACCACCAAATGTGTATTCCCCCCTCCCCTCTCGCATTGAATATTTGTATGGGTGCAGAGTTTCAAAACTAGAGTCCCCAAACCAGACTGTAAATCGATCATCCTCTCTTTCATGCCCGTTTCCTTTATTATCTACAAACATTTGAATTGGGCAACTGCTGCGACTGAACTGATGTCCTACAACAGGATTAAGAAGCACAGTCAAGAGGTTCAAGCTGTTAGATTTGCCAGAGGGGTTGAGCCAACAGTAGCATTAATGGTATTGAAATGTTCAGAAACAGCCAGGATGAATCTCTCATATTTGTCCACTTGTGATTGATTTATCAGCTACGGCTGTGGGTAACTAGTTGCTGAGAGCAGTGGTAGAAAGTGCTAAAAATGCAATTTCTTACAGTGGGAGCAATGCCGTGTTCTCTAGTTGGGTAGAGTGGCACGGAGTTTAATACCATTTCTACTGTTTTTGGAGCAATACTGGGGTCACCCTCCCAGTTTCACTGTATATTTGATTACTGAACAAAGGGATCACCTCTTCCCAGGAATGCTGAAAGCCCCATGACTAGAGATGTATTAAATTAGACTAGACTAGACAAAGCACTAGAAAATATAGAGTGCAATGGACTGTGTTTGAGCAGGCATCCCAGGCCTTATCCACTCCTGCCTACGTTGCCATATTAACACTTATACACCAGCATAAAACACGGTGTAGGGCTAGGCCTTGCTTTTACCAATGTGATACAGAGGGAACTGTTACTAGATGACATTGCATGGCCAATAATCCATCAGCATATAATAACACCAAATTGTGATGATACTAGTAATACGAAGACTTAATTGCAATTTGTTTGCTATTGCTTTATCCTGTGCCAGCTTCTTCTGCCTCCAGTGTTGACTGCTGTCAGGCTATTGCTTCTGAAACTGGACCGACACAAAGAGGAGGACATCCCATGAACAAAGCGGCCTTTGTACAAGTAGCAAGAGGCAAGAAGGATCAGTGCAGATTTTCAACAAAACTTAGACTCACAAAGCAGAGGGTGTACATTTAAATGTGCCTATTCCTCTGACTACCCACAAGTTGTTTAGCTGTGCATACACATGGCTAGTGTGATAGAGTTTGTACATGCAACACTGCTATTTGCACCTGCACCGATGGCAAGCGCGCACGGCTAACTCCTGAAATCTTAACCCAGACTGACCCAAGATTTTGGAGCCTGGTTGCTAGGCACCCCACAAAACCCAAGATAGAGGTTCTTAAAAATTAAATGGCTTAGACCTCTAGCTAAATATTATTCAGCAGCCTTATGGAAGTCTGCTGCTGCTTCTTGTAGGCATCCGTCCGTCTCAAGAGACAGGAGCATTACACTGAGTGAGACATCGGCTCGCTGAAAGTAATCCTCACTTGAAAGATGAAGCGCAGTTTTAATCATCACAGATTTGTATAGACAGCCATAAGCCAGGTACAGGACAATTCACAAAACACAGAAAGGCGATCAGTACATCCTATAAATATTTAGAATAATTTTAATTGGACTCCATTAACTTCAACACTACTAATTCTCTAGGGTTCTCCAGAACCCATTCCCTAGGCTGACTATTTGAAGTACGATCTGCCTTCTCTACCGTAAATATAGAAAAGCGGAGAGGAATAATTCTTCTGTAGAGGTCACCTTTTCTAGTTCCTTAAAAGCTTGCCAATTTTGCTTTAAGTGGCACTTCTGCAAATGGTAATCTTTACAATTTAAACCAAGTGTCATCAGGGCAAGATCCCCAGGCAGAAGAAAAAGGAGAGAGAAGAGGAACAGAAATACAAACCATGGAGGTGATGCTTAAAACAAGATGCACTTAATGGGCTAGACATACTTGCATACAAGTTGTTACGCTCTGAGAATGCTTTGATTTGTAAAGGTCAAGGAGCTTTTGTTCTTTCTTTTCCCCTTCCTTGAAAAGCAGAAACAGTCTCCAAATAAATCTCCAGGCCCTACATGAACTTGTGCGCCGAACGCGTCTTTGTTTCTCTGTTGTATATTAAACTTCTAGAGAAACAAAACACTTCAGAGGAGGGCTGTGCTCTGGGAAAGAGAAGGACTTTCTTTGCACTTTTAGAAACAAATCCAAGTTGTGCCCATAAAAACCTTGTGGGCTGAGGAAAGCCAGTCACTTCGTGAGCAGAACACGCCGCTGGGCGGATAAGGGCATGGGTTTCTATGGGAGACACAAACCAGATTCCCTCTTCATACTTGCAGTTTTGCAAAAGCAAATTATTTGATGCATTTCTTTTTAAAGCCATCTCTCGAGAGCATCATTAATATCATTTATGAACCTGGCTTGTGGTTCCCTGATTTGGGATCTAATGAGTGGCTAGACCCGAGTAGCATTAGTTTTGTCTGGTCATTGGAGACACACCAGGGATCATGTTTTAAACATCTGGTCCCACGTGGAATATTGCAGGGGGAGCCAAACATGGAACGGATGCATTTGAGCTCCAACATACGGCTCTTGGGGAATATTATCTGTACAGCGCGCATATGTTACAGGTGAGACATGAACAGCTTTGGTAAAAAGGTAACCTTTGGGAATTATAGTTACCCCGAACAAATCAAGATGATGGGACTCAGTGCTGCAAACAGTGGAAAGTCATCCTGCATAAAGACACAGTGAAAATTCCCAGGTATGAGGAGGGGAGATGCATTCATTCCCAAAGGCAGGAAGGAAAGAAGTCCCCCAGCTCTGTCCCCAGGCTGGCTGGTTTCCTGTTGGGCATGACACATTCAGAATGAGAATTGGGGAAAGTGGCAGATTTATCACTTGCAGGTTTTCAGACTGGAGAAGAACTGGGTGCTATTCAAACAACTGCAGCTGGGAGTAGGAGCATCCAACTCCAAACAGATGACTCACGCACAGATGGGAGTACCATGCCAGGGATGTCCTGTCCACCAGCCGCAGAAATTCAGCCATTCATTAGAAGTGGCAGCTGAATACAAATACTAAGAGGTCCTTCCACATGCATTTGGGTGTGAAAAGGGGAGAAATTAACAGTTCTCTCTAAAATGATGTAGTTGTATTTGTGGAAACCACCGACAAAAAAAAAAAAAAAAAAAAAAAAAAAAATCATCCATCTCTTGCAGTTAGCAAGCATACACTGGTTGTATCACACTTCGAAGGAAATGCTTGTCTACATCCTGTGTTTGTAGTACAAGACCAGACTCATTCAAGAAGTGAAAGGGAGTTTATTTTTATTTTCGTGTTAATGAGCAGAACATCCGTTTGTTAAGAGCCATCTGCAATACGCTTGCCAGAGAAAAGGACTTCAGACTACCAGTCAATGAAATCAGTGGTGAGCCAGTTACTGCACGCTGTGAATGTCACAATCAGGTCCTAAATTATACACATGATTAAGTGACAAATTACTGCATTTCTGTAGCTATAGAAACACAGCATTTCACAATGACTGCATTGCATTCTTACACACAAACTCTATCTATGGGAAAGTGCTGCTTCATGTCATAGACCATTTTTTTTTCCTTTTCCAGAGGCAATTCATGCAGGTACCCAACTCATAACGAGTAGGACAGGACACAGCATTTAATGATGGGCAAAAGAGACAGGTTTTCCAAGGAGATTAGCCATATTACTGATTTTTCTAATACTGTTCCAGGTTTGGTGGGGACTAAGGAGAAGGCTTTCAAACCAGCACTGTCAATATAATGTGGAGGGAATTTAAGCAGAGAAAAACCAGAGGCTGGAACAGGAGAAAGCTTTCAAAAAAGAATCAGGGCCAAAATGTGTTTCACTGGTAGTTTTTTTAGATGTTAATGAATAATGATGCCATTTACTCATGAATATTCAAATCTCTTATTCCCCTGATGATGAGCACAACTTATCATTTTCTCTGTTGTACCTGTCTTTAATATGACTCATACTTTTCTGGCTTCATTTATCACTTTTAAATGTAAACTGCAGTTAAAAATAGTGCTGTGTATTACAAGTGCAATATTAAAAAGGGAAAAAAAATATCATTCACCTATTTTCCAGTGGGAATTGCAGCCTGAAAAGCTTAAATCATGTAAATAAGCATTGCTCAGGCAAGTAGAAGATTGGACAGGACTGATAGTCTGCTTATTTTACCTTAGTCTGTAGAGAATAGATTGGAGAACGTAGAAAGATGTCTTTCGACACGGAAAGTTTTCATCATTCCTTCATTAAGGCCAAAAATAGCTGGTAGTCTTTTTTTTTTTTTTTTCCCCCCTCCTTCTTTCAGGAGTCTCCACTGGTCTCCTAGGCAGACAAGGTTCATTGGGTAAATGCAATCTCTTTTATTAGACCAACTAAGTAGTTGGAAAAATTGTTCTTTGCAAGCTTTTGGGTACAAACACCCTTCTTCAGGCATCAGGAGAATTTGCAGTTCCAGGAGAACACAAACACCAACAGACTCTCCCGATGCCTGGAGAAAGGTGTTTGTGCCCGAAAGTTTGCAAAGAACAATTTTTCCAACTATTTAGTTGGTCTAATAAAAGATCACGTCTACCCAACCACACCTGCCCGTGTCCTTAGACCAACACAGCTACAACCAAATGCCCCCAAAACACTGGTATCCTATGCATTCAGCCTGTGTTACTGACCCTTATCTTTCCATCTACACAAGAGATGGAGGAAGTTTTGTTCCCCCGAGGTCAGGAGTTTCATAGATGTTAGGGGCTGGAAGGGATTTTGTATTCGTTCCCGAGATCTTTCTCCAGCTGCTGAAAGTGCATGTGGGATTTGTTGTAGAACAGGGGTCTGTTTTTCAGGGATGCATAGGGCTGTAGGACTGAAAGTCTATTTGGGAATATTTTATAAGGCTTTTTTGTTTCTGCATGAGATGGTTTGGGTTGTTTTGTTCACACCTCCCCCCAGCCTGCTATATACACTGACTAGCACTATGTTTTTTATAGTTGCCTCCCCAGGCCTCTCAACGACAACACATGAGGCTGTGCAAAGAGGGCCCCCATTAAGCTACAGGTAAAAACAATCTGGCAATTGCCACAACCCACAAAATAACACACACCTGCTTCACAAGCTCATTAGAGCAAAGGTTATAATAGAAGTGAAGTCTCCTGTGGTTCGGCAGTAGATTGTCTGCCCCATAAGAGATTTGGGTTCAGCTCCTGGATGCTCATACAACTACAGCCGTGGAGGCACTAGACATCGGGTCTTAGTCTGGCCTGTGGATTCGGTCTCAGTGGCCTAAATGGGGAGGGAAGAGCTAGGTAGCCTCCACACTCATGCCTAGATATAGGTGTCAAAGGTCTGGGTGCTTTCCCCTGCATACACCATGACCAGGAAGGAGTGATGGTTGCTAAAGTCCCGAGGAAGGTGAACATTTACCACCCCTTCAGGATCAAGGACCTGGAATAAGAAATACAAGGGCTAAAATACTCACCAGCTAGAAGTGAAAACAACAGTTAACAACACTCGGCTTGAAACTGGTTGCTTTAGGGTCCCTGCTGGTTGATGCACTCCCATTTAAAGGGTCAGACTTAGGAAGGCATGCTGGGAGGCAAAACGAGGTCCTATAAAAGGGTGCTATTTCAGTGCAGGGGACTCTATAGGGGATGGGTAATTGTAAAAGGAAGTGGACCTGGTTCTTAGGATTTTTTTTTTTGCTAAGCGGTCTGCTGTTACCTTACTGTATATATACTTCTTGGTGGATAGATAAGGCTTGGAGTCAAGGTGACTTATTTTATACCCCTGTGGAGCAGGATTATGTGGCAGGGAAAGTGATAGGAGCTCCATGGATTAGAGCATTAGAAAATGAGATGTTCTTGGAGGGACTGATTCCTACAGCTGGAAGGATAGATTAGTTGATTTCCTAAATCCCTTTTATTTTCCCTGGAATTCCAACATTAAGCAGGATCTAAGTCTGCTGTTAGTCTACAGGCAACACTGGGGTAATGCCAGGAAGACTCTGCCTTCTTATATTGTTTTATATTAGCATGCAGCTGCAGATGATGCTATTAACCATCAGGGAGAAGCCCCATGGCTGGGGAGAGAGGATATGAGACAAATTGGGCAAGACTGAAGCACCAAGATGCAGTGCGGTGCCTAGGGGGTAGATAGCATACCAATTAGGGCATGCAATTTAAGGGAGTCACAGCTAGACTACCTCTCCAGGCCCTAATTTCCCTTTAGTTCATGATGGTGTAAACTAAGAGCCTCCAGAAAAGTCAGTGAAGATGCACCAATGCAAAAAATGGATGAGCATCAGGCACATGTGACTGATCCTCAGCTCCTTTTCAATCCTATTAGCATGATTGACCTTGCACAGTGCAAGTAGAAAATGCTGGCACTTTGGTTCAATAAAGAGGAGTTACTGTGGGATGGGTCACTGCTTCTTCCGAGCAGAATAGGCTTGGATGCACACAACACATTGGTTATTCCCCCTTGGTTGAGGCTGAAGCTAGTGTTCGGTATTACCCCTTGGTTATCATCAAAGACTCCTTGCTCTCTCTTTTTTTTTTTTTTAAGCTAATTTGGCCAGTTGAGTCATCTGGATCAGTTCTGAGCGGGGAGTATTAAAAATATTAATATACTGGCTATATTCATCTCTCTCGAGCCTTTCATATGCTAAACTGCTCTCCTCAAACTTCATCTCATCCATCACTAGGCGGTAGAGGGGGGGTAGAATAACAGAAGAATTCATTTTTCTACAGTTAAATTCTAGTTGATGTCCTCATTTGAATCCAGGAAAACTCTTGGGGAAGGTTCTTTAATGTTTTACAACTGTTGATGAAGCCAGCAAACCTCAGCCAGTTGCATGGGGTACTGACACAGTGCTCCCCAAGAAATCCAGGGGCTGGCATTATAGGTCCCCTGAGCTCCCTCTCATGGGTGTAATAATCAGGACATGCATGTCAGCATGAGCCAGCAATAGATCTGAATTGGAAGGGTTGGGGGCAAGGATGCCCCCATCTATGAATCTATGATGCCTAGGGTTGAGTTTGTCCTCTTCAAAGCATGTCGTGAAGCAGGCAATGCCTATAGCTAAGCTGAGAGATGGCAGTGAGTGAAACCCATTCCCCAGGCATGTGCTGCAGAGCTTGCTGGGGTCT